AACGAAATCATTGAAAAACTCTAGCAATCAAAACATATTTCTAAATAATAATTTAATGGCATAATAAACTGTTTTGTATTAAATAATTACAGGCAGCGGCTACACTTGTAATTTTTTTTAAATACATGTGAAATTTTAGATTTATATCCTGTACTAAGCATAATTGCTTTAACGTTTTTGTATACATTTTTCAATATAAACAAGGTAAGTTAGACAACTGTTGGCACGTAATAGAATAACAACCTGCCAACGCCTACTATGATATTGATCCCGCATGTTATAAGGTTAATTTGTTCAGATAAATACCACATAGGTATATTATATTTTATAATGTCCAAAATAAGAATGTAAAATTACTTTCGTCAGCTCAGGATCGTACTTTGTGATATTCCTTGATGGATGTTCAGCAGTGGAATAGTGATGGGTACAGCTCATGATGATGATGATGAATATTATTTTTACTTAAAAGTAGACATTTTTAACACACGCACTGCTTATAAAATTACACAAAATGATAAATGACTAACCTTGCAAAATACTTGGTTTTGGTTATGCAGTTTTTTATATTAATTATATCAATAAGGAAATTTCTTAAATATATTGTTATCAAAATCAATATTTCATAAATACAGGGAAATATTTAAGCGTATTATTTCTACTGAATCATGAGAAATGTTTGATAACAGCATAAACTAGTTTAAGATTTTATCAAGTTTTTTAAATACTATTTGCAACAAAATGTTGACTTGCAAAATGTTTTCTTGGACCTTTTTGTTTTCCATTACATGTGATTATCCTTATTGTTAAATCCATAGTAATTTTTCTTACACAGACGTGATATTTCAATTGGTTAAATGAAAACCTTCCATTTATTACAGATTACTAAGAATTGGCTAAAGCGCTGTTCTTCTTCCACTGCAACAATTCAGAAATTGTACGCAGTCAACTTCGCATGAGACATTATAGTTTCAAAAGATCATAAGTGTACGTATTGTTAGAGAGGTATGCACTCATTTTAATCACAGACACGGAGAGCATGGTCTGACGCAACAGCTTTATGAAGTATTACTTATAACTGGCAAGCATCACTTGAAAGATTGGGGAAGGATAACTCTGACAAAAATACAATACATGCACAGTTATTAATAAAATTGGAAATCGATAATATTTATTCACAACCAACTTCACACTTAAGCCTTATAAAATCCGTATACAGTATTTTGGCAGTTGGTATTGAAGATGAACCACGTTCTAGAAAGCCCGTTAAAGCTGATGAAAACACAATAAAACATTAATTGATGCTAATTATTAATCTTCAAGGTCGCGTATGAATCCCTCATATTGTTATGGAAAGAAATATGGTGCCGTTGCGGTGACGTCTGTGATTTGCTGCATAAAGGACTATAAAATGATCAATTTTTGAAGTATATCCTCACATGGGTGAAAATGGGTTATCTACAACAATATTATAAGCAAGAGACCATGGATTATCATAACATCTGGATTCTTGGCGGTCAACCACTTTGCGTCTTACTAGAAGTTTTCTTCCTCGTACGACCTCTTTATAAAATTGATTACCGTCGGTGATATTTTCGGATTAATATAATTTAGAAACCTTCAAAAAATGAGCTTACTCCTTTCTGAAAGGTCGGCAACACACCTGCAATATTCAAGTTGTTCTTGGGTGACCGTAGTTACTTAGCATCAGGTGAGCCGCCTGCTTGTTTGCCCATAAAAACGATTTACCGGATTAAAGCATATCGAAAGCCGATATTCATCAAAAAACGTGATGCTTTTTTATAGCAGAGGGGGCAAACGAGCATGCGGCTCACCTGATGGTAAGTGACTACCGCCGCCCATGAATAACTGCAACACCGGGAGAATTGCAAATACGTTGCCGGCCTTTTAAAAAGGAGTAGGCTCTTTTATTGAACGCCACTAAGTCGTATCAGTGCGGAAAAATCGCTGGTGGTAGTCGATCCCACAAGGAAGTGGTGCGAGGGAGAAAACTTCTTCTAGATCGCACAGTGCGGGACCGCCAATCATCCAGATGGTGTGGATGGTATCGCGAGTTTTGTTGCCATGTGCGATGGTGAAATTGAGCGGCTGAAATTAGTCCGAGTAATTGCTCAGAGCATTCTCCATGGTAGATGCGATAAAATACGCAAAGAGATGCAACATCTCTACGCAGTGCCAGTGATTCAAGCCGATCGGAAAGAACTTGGTCGTCGACGATTCGAACCGCTCTGCGCTGGATGCGGTCAAGTGGAAGGAGCTGGCACTGGGGAGCCCATGCCCAGAAATGGGCACAGTATTCCACGTGGGGTCGAACCTGCACCTAGTAAAGTTGCAAGCAGTGTGCCGGCATGATATACTGTCCCGCTCTGTTGAGCACGCAAAACTTTTTAGAGGCCAATTTGGCCTTCTCTTTCAAATGGCCACGAAACTGCACATCACTCAATATGTTGACACCGAGGATTATGATACTGGCTAAGGCAACAAGGTGAGTGCCTTAAAACAGGAAATACGACAAAGGGGTTTTTTAGCGGTAAACGCGCAAACTTGTTTCTTTTGGGGATTGAACTGGACCAGATTTATTTGCCCCCAGTCCGAGACTTTGTTCAACTAAGTCTCGGGACTCTTTAGACACAAGTTTGTTCCGGTACTCTGCGTCGTTTTCCCGAGACATATTGGTACGGCCGGTGTATAAAGCATTAACAGTGCCGTCGCCTGCATAGCAATGAATGTTACCAGTTTGAAACATATCATTGATATGCAGAAGAAACAGCGTTGGTGATAGCACCCAGTTTTGTGGAACACAAGCGTTAATGGGCTTGTAATCGGAGCATGCACCATCTACTACGACCTTGATGCTCCGATCTGCAAGAAAACTGGTGATCCAATTGCACAATTTCTCGGGAAGCCCGTAGGAAAGAAAAAATCTGTTTGCTATCTGTTTGGTGGGATTTCAAAGAAATCGTTTATTTTTTAGCTTTTACCTGACAAAAATAATGATCAATTCTGAAGTATACTATAATCAGCTGGGCATTTTGAAGGATTCACTTAAACAGGAAAGACCAGAATTGATCAATAGAAAAGGTGCAGCTTGATTGGTATATACACAGCCACACACACCATAATTTCCATCTGATTTGGCTCTGAGGTCTCTGCAAGTTGTTTTGACGGTAAAACCTTTGTTTAAAATGAAGAGGTCAAAAATCCCCTGCATATGTTTTTGCCAGCACAGAACTTACATTTTATGAGCGTGGTATTATACTACTGCCAGAAGGATGGCAAAAGGTAATGGACTAGAATGGATAATATATAATTCACTATAAAGTTTATAAGAAAATCGCCTTTTCATTTAAAAAAAATAAATTACTTTCCGAACTACAAAAATGTGTGCTATTGGTTAAATGCTACAAGTATTTAGAGTTACTAGTACCACTAGTTCACTCAGTTTTTGTAAAGAATGGCGTGTAAGAACCGATTAACTAATAAGTTTTATTTTTAGAATATATAAGGGACTTAACAAACATTTTGCATTACAATAAAATTATTACTGGATAAGTTGTGACAAGTCTAATAAAAGAAAATACGACGGTATGAAATCATAATAGTTACATGCAGTTAGTTTATAATTCAAAATTTCATTTAAGTGGCTACACATTATTTATAAAATGCAATAGAGAAATAAAAATTGACACTTAATTTGTGTACAAAATATTACATATATCAGAAATCCTAATCTTACGTACACACATAATTTAATATGGATGATAACCTTATACATCTAATTTTAACAACATCACAAAAATATGTATTATATTATATATTAATACATTCTTCCAAGCATTGTAAAATATTTTTATTATATTTCCTTTCACATCTCCTTTTATCCAAAGATATATAATTTTTAATCAATTTAACATCAACACACATATGGAATAGTTATACTAATAATAGAGGACCAGCCCCTGACTTTCATAAGAAGATTTTCGTGGCCTTGTTCTTTTAAAATGTCCTGTTAATTTATTATAGCTTTGCTGCTAACTAATCTATGCTAGCTTTTACTAGGAAAGGGAGAAAAGCGCGTTATTTACCTCGAGTACTCCACCACTATTCAGCGGCCGCGCTTAAAGGAGGTACTCTCATTGGTCAGGCCGGTCAAATGACGTATTTGGTGTACTTTCTACTTTTTTCAATACAATTTTAAAGGCGAACGTATGTTTTGGAGACACGGATGCCGGACGTGGAGTAAGTGGTGATCGAGGTGAAGGATCGGGAGGCATTTCTGAACGTGTCCTCGAGCGACGTGGCGGATTTCCTATTACAGGTGCTGATAATGGCTCCTTAGGTCTTTGGGGAGAAAGTCGATTTGGAGATAGACGACCAGGCGATGGATCAGGTGTAGTAGGTGGCAGCATCAAAGGTGGTAAATTTGCACAAGGTGAACCACGTGACCCACGACGTTCTTTTAAACCCATTGGAGGCGGTGGAGATGCAGGCGCGTCATCCTCGGCCGCTGCTACCACAACTACAGGCTCAGTTCGTGCTAAAGGCGCTTTAGGTTCACTTGCATCTGATGTTATGGATTTCCTAAAGAAGTTAAATCCACTCTCTATTTCAGCAAGCGCACGCCGAACAAATGGAAAACTCTCAGAAATTTCAGAAGTTGATTTTCTGACGGGGAACTCTGTTTCACTGTCACGTTTTCTCGGTTTACAGCGTTCAAATGTTGGATCTCCTGCAGCAGCAACAGTCTCTGATATTTGTCTCGTAAGAGCAGCGTGTTTGATTGAATCAGACTTGGACCTTGGTTCTCTCGTTTTTGGTGTCGGTGAGCGGCGATCGCCAAACTTTTTACTAGCAGCTCGTTTAATAGAGGAAAATAGACCGAGTTTCTCAGGTGGCTTATCAGAAGGAGCAGTTGCGGTAGTTAGAGCATTGGAAGGGCCAGGGACGGGTTCAGGCACGGGATGGGGGGAGTTCCCCTCGCGTTAGTTGTGCCGAGAGTCAGATGAAGGAACATCGCTCGAGCCGGTGGAAGAGAGAGTCGTGTTTGAACCATAGGGATCAAGAGAAGATTGTACAGACATTGAACGACCTGCCCGCCGCACCCTTGCTGGAGACAGCTTTCCTGGATCTACGCTGGCCGGGTCTGCCTGCAACAACAGCGTTCTAAGTATACATTTATTCTTATAATGATAATAATCAGACAAGCGATCGATGTGTTATAGTTAAATGAAATCTAGAGAAAGCCATTAATTTAAAAAAAAAACATGTAAAGTTTTAGTTTACAGATTATGAGGTTTTATAATTGATCTCATATTTTAAGTACTGTTCTATTAACTGCAACAATACATTCAGAGTATAAACTAAATATAGGATTAATGTGGAATTTTATTTTAGTCCCGAATTAAGTTTGAATTTGAATTTCAGAATTGGATAAGGTGTTGTCATACTGGGGGGCTTATATTTTTTTGTTTTCTACTATTAAATGCAGGAAAAAAGTAGAGTACAATTTAAAAAAAAATATGTAAAACAGGCAATCTTTTCACTTTGACTCAGACAATCTTTGTGTAGAGGACTGATGAAAACAATGGTTAAAATAAAGAGGATTGTACGAAAAAAAAGATATAAATGCATATAAATATAGATATGTATAAATGAATCGGTCAAGGAATAGAATTAAAAATAGATAAATAGTAATAGAAACTACTTTGGTGCATATAAAAACTACAAAGATACCGCTTAATTTATTATTAAAACAATTTTTCTTGTTTCATAATAAATTAAAATTAAATATTTCCGATTCCAAAGTGCTAAAATATATAAATTAATGGTTCAGTATTTAATATAAGAAACTACAAGTTATTTAATTTTTACAAGAAACGCTTCATTTCTCAACCACCCGCACTGTGCCAGAGTTGATCAAAATTTTATGGAAGTTTTTACGATATTACAGCACCGCAAACATGATTTTACCTTGCTTAAATACAGTTTAAGTCCTAACTCCTCAACTAATAGTACTAAAATTATTATTCAAAGTGCTAATGAAATCCAGCAAAATTTCCATAAAAACTGTTGCATTTTATTGGCAAATCAAATGTGAAGTGATATTGATCGTATATTTTCTTTAAAAGTTGGTAACAGAATTGCCAAATTACGAAGTTGAAGCATTTGAAAATTTTTATTGCAAAAATATATTTTGAGACTACATGTAATTTAAACTCAAGACTTGCTGTTAGAATCCTGATGAGCACATGGGCAAAATAGAGTATAGAAAAAACCTATATGAACAGATATTTAAACGGTAAATTTCAGCACCATCCTTCACAGTTAGCTACCGTGGGAAAATATTTGTTTCAGAGAGCAAAAGGGATCCGTATCGTAAAAATCTGGCCACCGAGCTTCAATACGTCAAGCAAGTTTTGCACAACAACAAGCTTCAGTTGCACAACAACAAAAACAGGCCGCAGTCGAACGTGAGTCTGCTACACTACCATATATAAGAGGAATCACAGACAAGATTGACTGTATGTTGAAACGAGATTAAAATATACTTCAAGCCGCTGAAGCAGATTAGTCAAATCTTATCATCCTTCAAGTGCAAAATCACTTAGTTGTGAATGCGGTCTCTCTTTAAAGAAATTTAAGATTTTTTTTACATTAAAGAGCGCATAGCTGATGTTTAGAATTGACGGTCCGGTATGTCTGCAATCTGTGAACACGTACAGTATTGTCCCAGCCATTACATGAAATTTGATAGATCACAAATTCTCACTAAGGACACCGATTAATATCAATGATGATTCAATTCTATTCAAATTATAAAACATCCTAATTTTAAATGGGAAGATAGTTGGGTAAATAAAGGAAATTAATTGAATTAGTAGATTCCACAGTGTTCCTTGGTATACATATTGACTCTCATCTACAACGGATATATTTGACCATTTTTGAGAGTGAGTGCGTAAACAAAGGTGCACTATATCCTCACTCACATAATCAGGAGTAGTAAATATGACGGCAATCTGACACGACAGAAGAAAATCATACGCAAGTCTGAATAATGGATTTAGGTGCACGAGGGTGACACACCAGGAGCTTCCTGACTCCGTGCTGCTACTGAGAATTTCTCGACGGATAAACTCGGTCTCAAACCCGAGACCACATGATAGGCAGTCGCCAATACATCTACTACACCAACCAGGCAGTCAAATCTAATATATATTCATATCTAAAAAAATAAAATATCAATATAACTTTTGGGACAGTGCGCACCTGATAAGCTAAAGCGTTCATTATAATAGAATAGGGCACCAGTCCTAACGGATGCACCTCCCTCATGAGCACGTTAGCTGGAATCTTGTGGAACTGAATGTATTCGAGAAAATTTCCAATCACATCTTTAAGTGACATGTTCTGATTCGTGTCGCAATACTTCTTACTCCACATTAGGGCTGCCTGAAATCGTAAAAGTTATTATTAAATTGTGACGCCGTGTGATGGTGTACTAAAATAACTCATCACCCATAAGCCCAAAAGATTTTGTAGCTTTTTAAAGATGGCGACATAACTTTTTAAAAGCAGACAGAGCTCTACTTGCAAACAATTGCAATAATAAAATCATACGAAGCCTCTCTACCAGTACCAACAAACGTAATTGCAATTTTAAGTGCTGATTTATGACCACCGAAAATAATGTGTTCAAGAAATTTAAAAAAAAAACCAATGACATGATATATAATAAAGTATTTGGTGTAGCAGGGCGTAATATTACTTGCTCCAAGCCTTCTCAGAAATAAACGGATATTTAAGACCAGGAGTTAGATGTATGCGCTATTACTTTATTTTTTAATTCAATAATAATCAATATAGTAAAATTGCCTTTTATTCCTAATTAATAACAGTTAATTAATTAGATACAAATCAGTTAACATTTTTAACAAATAGTATTTTATTTTACATTATTATATCTAAAGTAAGTTTAATTTGAATTTCATTTAGCATTTAATTTAATTTCACTAGTAGTTTTAATTATTACAAATAATTTAGATATTTTTATTTTACAGATTTATAATTATACATAATTAGTGATTTTTTATGAACATTAACCATTACAATTAATTTCGATATTTTTAAAATTTGAATATCGGTCATAATATCAGTTAAATGAATATAATATTCATAATCTGAGGGTGAGGGTGTAATTGGATAAATACTAACTTTTTCTATAAATCCAAATACCAGTTTTTACTTACATGCAGCTAATGAACGAAGCTCTGGTGAATGATTAATGATGATCATCATCATTATAACCCTTAACAAATTGATTATTAAACTTAGAACTCCCTCAAGAAATACGATAAAAGACTGTAATGAGTCAACAGCATCCATCGAATTGATTTACGTCTTATCATGTCGGCACTCTACACACTACCACATTGCGCGACGCTGCCGCTCTAGAACTTTTCTTCCTCAGCGTTTGCCAGTATGGGGGTGGGCACGCAGGGGAAAACCAGCGTAAAAACACAGCAGTCCAATGCTGCTGTGTTTTGTATGGTGAGTGTAGAGAACCGGAGACCATATTTACTGGATATGAGGCATTCCATCTGAGTCCGCAGGCATCTGCATTTTGATCCTTAGTCGAGGATAAATGTAGATGTCAATGGGCCACAGCATCGATTTACCATCAGGTAGGCTATGTGCTTGCTTGTCACCTTTATCCTATAAAAAAAAAATTATTAAAATATACTTAAAGTTAACGCACCTGAAACTTAGTAAACTCATCGGCTCGAAGTTCATCTCTTGCCAAAATTAGACGTACAACATGCTGAGGTAGAAGAGTAAACGATCCCAAGTTTAGCACTTCATTACCATGCTCATCAACGAATTCTAGAACCTGAAATAACAGAAGAGTACAATGAGCTACTTTTGTCCCTTTTTATCCAAATTCAATAATGATGGAGGTTTATAATTCGATTGTACGTTTTTTGTTTGTTGTCAAACGATTTTGATGATTATTTTTTAATATAAAATAGGTTTTTACCTTTTTATACTCAAGGGTAGTCCCATATAAATTGAGAGAAAAAATTCCACCCCTAGTGGTGGCGAAACGGTGGACAAGTTTCTGGACAATGTAACTATTTAGTCAAAATTTGAGCTTGATTTCGATACAAAGTAAAAGCTAGCTTTAAATTATTAAAAATATTAAAATATTTTATAAAAGATTTAAAACAAAATTAAAGGTTATAGTATACACAACGTAGTCGCTATACAATAATTACTACGGTTGCCTTCCGTTAAAAAAATCTTACGATATTTTAATGATTTACGGAAAATTTATTTAAGATTAAATAATTATTTTAGCGACGAGGAGCAACGTCAACGGTGCACGACATGTGGTTCTCCAATCGCTTATTCGTATTGCATCGTGGTGATTAGGTCAAATCCTTCCAATTATGGGATTAACCCATGTCCATTAAGGACTATTACGGGCTGATAACACCTGGAGAGCTTGAAAACACCTGGAATTGCGATTGACCTATTCCATATATATACCATGTTATATGATATGATATACCATGTTTGGTATATCTAGTTTGGTTAGTATTCTTCTCAACTGACGAACGTTCTATATTCAACAGTGGATTATTTACAGACAATTTAACAAGATATAGCTCTGAGAACTGATAACTAACAAAAATGACTAGCTAGCCACCCACTAAATGGTAGTGGAAAAGAATGGTTGATTGTCTTGGTTTTCCTTACCATCAACAATTTAGGCTGTGTTGCTGATGACGATGAATGTATTCGACATTAATACCCAAATATTTCAAGTAAAGCATTTAGCAACAGCAATTAATTACTGACGTTTTGCAAATTCAGGTACTAAAAAATAAGTATAACGAAAATATAATAAAAAACTATTAATGTATTTACGTGCATATTGCTACGGTTTGTAAGATAGAGAAAGCTCATACAATAACAGGTTATGACGCATTCTATATTAAACCCTCGTGGACACACGCTACTAGCTTAAAATGTTTTAATTAAGCTGTAAGAATCGATGGGTTGAACCTGTGTTATCTGCTCAGATATAGAGTTATCCTGTTTGTCACTCTAAAAATTATATGTCAATAAAACATACCTTTTGCACTAAAGATTTTGTGCACTTGTATTGAATATATCTTTCCGCTGACGCTAAAAGAGCGCACACCGTATCCACTGTGATGCAACATTGGACAAAACCAGCGCAAGCTCGGCGGAGCTCATCCAGGCCATAATAATCCGCTGCATTCATCACACCTTTCAAGCATTATAAATGTTATTAAAACATCAGTTTATTTATCGTTAGACTAAAAAAATACACTAAATCAAATTATGATATTATGCAAACTAGGAAAATAATCCATTAAATTTTATTTCACAAAAGTTGTTTTTAGTATAGATTCTTCTTTCAGTCATGTAGCGTCACCAAATATTAGGTTCTAGATCGCAAATTTTTACTGAACATAATTTTCAGTTAAAAGCAGGCAATTTTCACTTAGCAAAAATTAATTAAACTTATTTATCTCAGTATTATTATTATTGCATAATAATCTGAAATATTAAACATAAATAAATTTTAATAAAGGTATCAATTACAATAAGGTTTATTTTGTTGCGATCAAAAATATTTTTTTAACTTAAAATAAGTTCATAAGTCAATATATGAAATTATTAACTTAACTTTTTATAAAAGTATCTGATCATTTTACTCAAATCAATGAAAATTCAGAGTAATAGAATCTTTTAGTAGGATAAAATGAATACCTATTCGTCAAAGGCGCTTAAAAGGTGGACGATGAAAACTTATTGAAGTGCCCGCCATCTTCGCCTATAAACTAATTTGCAATGTCAGGGTATATTTAGTATTATTGAGTATCTTTAGTAGAAAATATTAAATTTGTGTCATGATTTTATTCTTACAATTTAATTAAACACATTCATGGTAGTACCAGAACACTGTTTCTACATAGTTGTATTACGGCGTATGCTTTGTTAAAATATTTTATAATTTAACTTGTTTTTTTATAGGATAAGGGTGACAAACGAGCACACAGTCCACCTGATGGTAAGTGGTTGCTGTGGCCCATAGATATCTACATCTATCCTCCGAATCAAAATGCAGATGCGTTGCCACTCGTGAGGAATAAGATGGAATGCCTCATTTCCAGTAAAAAGGGCCTCCGGCCACCTGCACTCACCAAGCGAAACGCAGAGGTAAACCTCTACTTCACGCTGGTATTCTGTGAGGTCGTGGTACCACCCCAGTTCGAGCCGGCCCATCCGTGCGACAGCAAAAGCTGCCGCGTGGCTCTACCACTGTTAAAGTGTCCAGCGATTGCTCGCTAGTCGACTTAGAGACGACTTCCTGTAGCATTATCCTGAGTCAGTGGTCTTTTTGTGGCTACAATCCATTTATTTTAATATTTAGTTAAGTATTTTTTTGGTTTGTAAGACTGACATTCTGCAAATTACAGCTATAAATAATATTTTCTTTTTTTTTAAAATAAAATTTAGCATTGCATTATTCGTTTCATTATTATATATAACATTTTTTTATATAATAAACACATATGCTCGATTAAGAGTAACAATTATGCATGTTTTTAGGTTCATCTTATTATTTGTGTAATAATAATATTAATAAAATTTTTAATATTAACAATATCATACTGCGCTTGATTTATATTTTACTAAGATCGCGAACAATGGTGTCAGAAGATTGATTAAAATCTAACGATTAGTTTTAATCTCGATTGCTATTGCAACCTATGCAGTATAAAACTGAGTAACCAACACCAACGGCATATTATATGCCATTATTATAGAAAATATAAAAGGTGCTTTACGGTAATTGATACAAAATAACTATTATGACAGCTGTTTAGAATGCCTTTTGGTTTAATTTAAATTTTTACCCGTCAAATGCATATTTTCAATTTATTAATTCCCAAAGAATATACCTTTCATTTTAATTTACTGATGGGAGTAGCTGATAGGCCCCATATTGGTTTAGAAGCATTACAAACTCAAAGTTTGTTTGTCTCTGAATTTAAGTTTTCCTAAGTTTGTTTTTTTTTAAGTTTTCCCTAATATAAGGATGATTAGTACCATGCTTAATACGAATATTATATTAATATAATATATTCGTATTAAACATGATATAAATACATCAACTGAATCTAGGGATATATTATATTTCATCAAATATCTAAAAATGTATTCTAAATATATGAATAATTTTCTGGTAATATAGTAAATGGCAGAATGATGGTGTTTAATAAAAAATAAAAATAAATTTTGTTTTTCTTTTATTTTAAATAAAAATGTTAATTTTTTTAATCGCCCTAGATAACTAGTATGATAAAAAAACTTCATTTCTTCTTATAAAACTATTAATTAAAATTAAAATTTAAAAAATCTTATAAATCTAATTACTAATAATCAGTAATGCCACCTCTTACATTAATTACATGTCCACATCGATTGTTAATACTTAAAATTAAATTGTTAATGTCTTGGTGCAGTATGAGGTCTCCTATTTTCTTTGCAAGTGTTCGTAAAATTGTTGTTCTGTCGTCAAATTTGGCGGAATATCTCTCAAAGCTTTTCGTTGTAACATGTTGCAGGCATGCTCAATAGAATTTAAGTCGGGCGACTGTGCAGGCCAATCCAAAACTTGAATATCGTGGTCTCGGAAAACGGCCGACGCCAGCCGCGCCGTATGGGAAGGACCATTATCGTGCAAGAGTAAAAATTCTTGGCCCATTTGGATTCTGTCTGAGACAATAACGGGCTCTACTAACAATTCATGGTATTTTTGTGCAGTCATGCTGCCTTGGATCCAAACAGCTGGGTTCGTCCGCCAAGACGAATTCCTGCTCACACCATGATTGCCCCGCCTTGGTATGAGTGGACCTCCTGAGGGTGCCGTGGACGGCTAACTCTCCCTGAAGTTCTACAAACGCGTGTTCTTCGTTAATCCAGATGAAACCCAAACCGGGACTCATCGGTGAACAGCACCAAAAAAAATTGTTCGTCACTCCATGGTAAAAGCTCCCGAACCCACGAAAGCAGCCGACCGTGATTGCCACGTCGCAATGATGGAATACGTAGCGGTCTTCGACCATTAAGACCAACTTCATGCAACCTCCTTCGTATGGTTTGGTCACTTACCAGCAGCTGGTGGCACTCCTGGAGCCTTTATAGGAATAGTTGCATAGTTGAACAGCATGCATCATTGTGATTTTGAGTTGTCTTCTAACGGTCATTTGATGAAATCGATCCTGTCTCTGCGCAGTAACACGATATGTAGTCGTGTGTTAATCAGCCACATCCCCAGTACTGCGATAACGACCTTGATTTTTTTTATAGGATAAGGGTGACAAACGAGCACACAGTCCACCTGATGATAAGTGGTTGCTGCGGCCCATAGACATTTCCATCTATCCTCTGTTACAAATCAAATGTGTTGTCACCCGTGAGGACTAAGATGGAAGGCCTCATTTCCAGTAAAAAGGTCCTCCGGCCACCTGCACTCACCAAGCGAAACGCAGAGGTATACCTCTACTTCACGCTGGTTTTCTGTGAGGTCGTGGTACTACCCCGGTTCGAGCCGGCCCAACCGTGCGACAGTAAAAGCTGCCGCGTGGCTCTACCACTGTTAAAAATATATCACGTTTTCGCTGGTGTGTAGGGCCTCGGCAACGACGCGTTGAATAGCACTATTTTCTAACATGCCCACGGCCCGTAACATTTCATCTCGACTCAAATGACGATGTGACATAACTCTTAAAGCTCACACGGCACGTTGAATTAAAAAAAAGAAAATAAAATCTAATCCTTATTATTTATTAATATCAGTAGAACAATTTTATTTTTTCTTGATGTAACGAATTACGGACAATTTTGTCGCCGTATTTTGTTTTTTCTTTTGTATTTTTATTTACATTTTTAAAATTTAAAAATAGAATAAAAGAGTTTTCAATCTGTATATAAGCTTTTTATGGAAAAAAGTAAAAGTAAAGTTGAGCCTATTAACGCCCGACTGCTGGGCACAGGCTTCTTTTCATTTCTGAGAGGATTTTAGGGCAAGGAAATGTCCGCCGCGCTGCCCCAATGCGTGTTAGCGAACTTCATATGTCTTCGAAATATTTTTTTCTTGTTTCTCAGACATGCAGGTTTCCTCGCGATGTTTTCCTTTACTGCCGAGCACGTGGTAAAACAGCACTTAAAATTGCAATTAACAATTTGATTGATGCCGGCGGGGATCGAACCCGGGTTGCTCGAGTACTGTGAAGCTTACAACGAGCGCTAACCATCTGAGCTATCACGGCTCTTTTTATGGAAAGTAATAAGATTTTAAAGTATAAAGTCGTAAATAATTTAGGCTTAATATATCCCTAGATAATGTTGAAGTGTTTATGTATTATATGATAAGTTCTAAACAATTATCATATATAATTATTATCACATCAACATATTAACTAATTGTATTTCCTTGTAAATAGACAATGTTGTTTTTTTCTTATTATCATTTATGTTTAATGCAAATATATATTAAAAAAAAAAAACAAATCATACCCAGCAGAGTCCGTGGCTGAAGTGTTACACATCCTGTATGAATGTATTCTATTAACTGCCGGAAGACATCGGGCTCAAATTCTTCGATTATAAGAGTTTGATGTTGCTGGGATGACGGCTGATAAATAAAACAAATTATGTTAGAGTTATAGTAAAAATGCAATATTACGACTTCTTGTATCAATTGTGCATAGATATTTAATATTTTTAAATCAGTTTTGTCCATCTTATTTACCTTCGTAGCACAAAATACCAACTCACTACAGAGAGTTCCATATAATTGTAACAACATAGAGTAAAATATAACACGATATTCAAAAACTTTTATTTATCATCAGTGGCGTACATTTTTAGTAAAATCAATAAAATGTATTTTTATTGAGTATAAAAAAGTGCTTGCAGATAAAGTGATGCATGATTTTTTGCAAAATCTATAAAAATACGTTAATCATGGCGCAATAAAAATATTTAAGCAAAGTATCGACAATAATTTGTATAATGCGTGTAATTAAAATAAATATTAAGCGAAAGTAATCGTTGTAAAATACGAGAACCTACAAATGTATAAAATTTTTATAAATCATGATGAACATCATGCTTTTAAAAAAACCGAAAATTTAGATTTAATAAATCGAGATCATAGAAACACTAATTATAAACTTACATTTAGTGGCAGAAAATTTAAAATAAATCCTAATAAAAAATGTAATAAATAGTCATGCAATCAGTGTCCGTTATAAAACAAAATTTCAGTCTTGATTTATGCAGACGATAAACCTAACTACAACAAGTGTATGAAACAGTAAATATTTAGATATTTGATTTTGATATTAAACTTTTAAAATTGACTTCCTACAACACCGTTAATTTTGCCTTTACCTCTTGTATTGGAGCCAATTGCTGCGCGAAAGCTGATCTCTGCAGTAGAAATAGTAAAAATAATTTTGATACTCTAAGTATAAAACTTAAACGTTTATGTTATAAATCCAAATAATTATCTAATAATGAGAAATTATCGCATGGAAAGTGCATGCAATGAACACAATGCTTCAAATTATTCTCAAATGGCTACTGAATGGTTATTATTACTTACTCCTAGTAATGCTTGTGTTACGATCTTCGACTATTTATAGAATCATTTTTTAATTTTTTCAAAAAGATTAAATGCATTTACATACTGATACTATTTAATTTATAGGGGCGTTAATTCATTTTTTTCGTTATTTGTTGCTTTATTATTACATTTATACATATTTTATTGTTATGTAATACATAATTTCGGATTGACGTTGACAGAGTGGATACATTATATTTACTGAAACTATTTAACCCATTAGTCACGTATAAATAATGAAGAACGAATAATTGATTATATATGGTTCAATTATCATTCTGTTCAATCAATTTAAGTATTTATAGTATCTTTATTTATCTTATAGAAGCAATTAAGACTTATGAACTATTTTTCGAAAAGAGTGATAAAAATGAAGTACTACCTGCTGTGCTGCGTTTTGAAGATTTAACAATGGCTCGGATGATCGTTTCAGAAATAGTCTCAGTTTGTTTTCGCGAGGTGCAGGATCTTTTTTTCTCTGAGGACTTGGGGCTTGATAGAGCATTTTTTGGAAAACCCTGTACCAAAAAAACCGATATATTTTTTATAAAAGAAATGATTTATAGGACTTAAATTGAGGTTTTCCCCTTTTCAATAACAACTTCTTTTTAGCTGTAATCGAGATAGTTCAAAAGATATATATCTGAATCATTTCAGAATTATAATTCTATCGCCCGGAAACCGAAAACGAATCAACTGAAATGTGTTTTTTTCTATGTATTTTAACAATAACTTCGATTACAAAAAATTTGATATGTAATACAGTTTAAGAACACAAAAACCACGGTCGTAAGTACGTGGACCTATTAGTCTAATTTCCATAAGTCAGCCGTAAAGCACGAACTATCCTAAATATAAAAACATTACAAATGTTAAAATAACGATTATTCTATTTTATTATCTTATATTCCATTAAATTATAGTATTCATTATTTTACTTGAATCAAAAGTCATAAAATGACTGACTGACTGAATGAGTCTAGTGCAACATGTTTTATTCACCTGCTTCGTGCTGCCAAAACAGCTTTGACAGCGCACACTGGTTCTCTAGTGTCTCCAACTAGGAACGTCACGTCACACAACTCAGGCATTGAAGCTAAAAACTTCATATCCTCTGCTAAGCCTGATTTGTTCTCAAAGGTACTGAGGTCTGGCTCCGCCTCCATTGCTGCTAAAGCCCCGCTTCTCATTGACGTCTAAAATTAGGGAAAATGCTATTTTTTAAAATGATCTAGTATGCCACGGGAACCTCTTACACCATTGCGTCCTATAAATCTAATAAAGGTAGACTAAAAGAAAATTATTTCCCTTGGACTACTTTTATAAGAGATGGATGGATGGATGGCGAAGGAAACACGTTAAAACTTGTATGACCGCCATGAATGAAAAAGTATATTTACTAACGAAATATTTTTTATAGAATAGGGAAAAAATTAAAATTAAACATAAAAATGGAAATAATTACTAGAAACACTAACAACAAAATACGAAATATTTTCGATTTAACTTACTTCGTCTAAACTAAAATGTCTGGTCACGGTTATTTCCATTTTTAATATTCAATAAGAAAAATAATAGAATCGTTCGCTTTCGGCTAGTCTCAAACAGCGACTGTCTGTAGAAAGGAAATTATAGGGAACGCTTCAATTTCCACAAAGTGAATAGCGTCTGGTCCAAATATACAGGGAAACGCTTTACGTAATAATTTTAACGTGGGCTTATCAGAAAAATCAAAATAATTACCAAAACAAAGATTTTCTACAAAATACGTTTTTAGAAGTAAATGCAATATTAATTCAAATTAAGAATACGAATACTTGACACGGTAAGCTAAGAAAAAAAAATTCGATTAACAAAAGAAAAGGACAATCAACGGAAACCTCTGTAAGATTCCAAGAAACGAACTAATAAGGTATGGTTACGTACACATTTACATTCTATTTGTAAATTTTAAGCTAATTTAAAAATAAGTTTATTTAATCCTTGACGTATGAAGTACAAAATGTCTTTTACTTGGTCAAGTGTGTGCACTTTGGGACAAAATATCTGATTAATCATTACTGAGAAGCTTATAGCCGTAAACAAGTGAGGTTAGAGTCCAAACGTATTTTGTCGCAATGATCTTTACACGGTGATGTGCTTGATTTACTGTAGATTAGTTTGAAGTTAATAATTATTATGTAATCATCCACATTTTGTTAGTCTTTTTACTTGTCAATATCATTAACAAGGCAATTTGCGTTCACAAACCAAAACGCTTATGTATCTCTCGAGAACCACATTCTACTATTGATCACTGAACCTGATAAGCGGATTGGCGTTCTTTCACATTTAAGACTCCGCTCGCTTGTTGGTCTAAGCAACCAGTGTGTCACGAGATGAAATTTCGCCGTCACTATACTAATGCAAGGAAATAAATGTAATAATAATGAATGGAATTCTTGAAAGGTTGTCCATTACTGTACAGTCGCTATTATTATGAGCACTTTTCTAACGGGAACGTCTAAAGGCAGGGATAAGGCATATGACTAAAATATACTGTAGTGGAGATTCTGACTATATTAAATACTTTCTATATAATGCAATTTGACAATTCGTTTTGGAAATGTTTAAAACCAGTTAAACATAAGCTTAATTAGTAATGAGTCTTGGAATAATAGAATACAATTAAATTGGAAGAACAGAAATAAATTTTAAAGTCTGCATGTTTATGCTCTGCATGCATGCGATATGCTTCGCACGGGTGATTTTTGGGTCTCGACAATAGCGCCACCTATCGGGTCCAAATGTGAATCATCTAAAGCTATTCTGTTTGAATGGCTTTAGATGATTCGTACATCAATTCATACAAAAAAGTTTCATAAAAATCGGTCGAGCCGTTTTTGAGGTTTAGCGAGAATAACGGACATCAATTGATTTTTAATATAGAGATTGGCATATTTTAACCATACCATTTCCTTTTTCTAAATAGCGTTGCAGTTGAAGATGACAAGCACATAGTTTAAATTTTATGAAATAGTTTTAAGTTCAATGCAATGTACACTAACTTTAAAGTTTTAAATCAGATAATTGCAGAATCGCAGAACGTATTTTTATCTATATAAATACTATAACAAAACACTAACATCGTCTGGCTGAACGCGCATCACGCAATAACTTGTGAACCGATTTTGATGGGACTTTCACTAGAAGATAGCTGATGTTATAAGAAGTAATTAAGGCTACTTTTATTTAAGGAAAAGAATTAGAGTTCCGCGAAAATGTTGAAACCCATGAAATCCAACCACAATAAATTAGACGCAGGCGAAGACGCTGGAACAGCTAGTACCTTAGTAAACCTCTAACACAACGTGTGTCTGAACCACTGGCAGATAGTTGATGTTATAAGGAGTAACTTAGGTTACTTTTATTTTAGGAAAAGAACTATGGTTCCGCGCAAAAAAATTAAAAACCATGAAATCCAATCGCTAGTGAAACATAAATCGCTCCAGTTTTTACATATAGGCTACATCCGTCAATGACATTGACAAGTAAATTAAAACGCGTTCGGTACAAATATCAATCATTGCAATGTTAATAACTCTTAGGCCTCAATTTAATAACGTTGATTTAAAGCTTTCATCAATGCAAATTTATTTCCTTCCTTTTTGTCATTAACTCGTAATAGTTTACAGTTGGACGTGGTCTCCAATCCAATCACCACCAAACATTTCCCGTCTTTAATGATGTTTTCTATTGCTGTCAGGTATAAATCTATTATAAGTGCGAGGTGGTTACCGCCATTTATCTGAGGCCATAACTGCACCGTATAAAGTTATCTTGTAAACGGTTTAAGAATTTTAGCTCCCGTGCGTTCTTATTTCAACTTAATATAAACACAAGTTCATATTTCATATCAATATAGTGACCAACAAAGGAGTTAGCAGTCCAGTTGTTCGTAAGTGGCTACTGTAGCCTGGTAGCCACTTATATATATACAACTATACTACAAAAATGGCTGCAGCATGGCTCTACCACGTAAAAATCACCAAGTATATTTTAATAGATGTCCTTCAGATGTACCATGGTATCGTAGAAGAGAAATGCTATGCTACAGCTATGCATGGGTTGTAGCACGAATGGGTCGGCTCGACCGGGGAAGGACCACTCTCTCACAGAATACCAGCGTCAATGAAGTAGCAGCTTAATGCTGCTGTATTTTGTTTGGTGAGAGTAAAGAACTGGAGACACTTTTCACTGAAAACAAGGCATTTCATCTTAGTCCACAAGGGGTGACATTGCATCTGCATTTTGATTCGTACTCGGTGACAGATGTAGATGTCTATGGGCTACAGCATCACCCTTATTCTATATAAAAAAATGAAACAGAAGATGAGTAGCAGTATTTTTGTTGTAAAATCTCGAAATAATAAAAATCTACGGTTATCAACTCGCCCTACGAGCATGGCAAATATGACAAATCATTTGATACACTCGAAGTTTGATGGGCAGTGATAAATAAATAACATAATGGGAAATATAAACGTTATAATGGTTAATGTTTGGAACAGCTTCCCTCATTAATGCGTCCCGTCAACCGTAATTATATAGGACATGAACATTGAGCAACGACCCGAAAGCATTACACTCTCGTTGAGTTATATTGATTTTGCTCGAATATTAAGAGCCTTAATGAATGTGCACACGTTTCCTTCAAGTAAAATATATTGTACAAATCTTGCTCTTGTAGATAAGTATACACTTATAAATTAAGACATCACAGACAAAAGAATAAAGTGGTAGAAGATAAAAAATATTATTACAAGTTTAACAAAGAGATAGTTAAAGAATAATAGAGTAAGAAAGATAGATAGTATAAATTCGTAAACGTAGACATAATTTATTTACCAACGTAATCTACGAGAGACGAAATTCTCCACCTACATAGTTTGTCTGGAGTAACGCCCACATCTAAGAAGCTTACATCTATATTCTTATGAAATTGCTATATTATGTAAACAATCAACCTACCTGTTGAGTTTTCCTATGTGAAGTACAAAAGAAGTTCCTATCAAAATTTCCTTCCGTATAATAGCTTACATAAAATAAGTTCCACTTAAAATTTTAAAACGCGGCTTTAATCATAACATTTCGATTAAATCGATGAATCAAGCCCATACATTATTTCTAAAAGATATTCTAATGAACTCTCCTAAACTACTGCGTAGTTCCTTAAAAAGATTATACACATGACATTAAAATCTAAGTAAGAAGCACTTATTATTAAAACATGACAGATCCTACAATAAGAAACTACACACACTGTACTTTCCTAGTATATATATTGTAGTTTGCACTGTACACATGAGCGAATATTAGCTAAACGCATGCGTCAAAACCCTCGCGCAGGCGCGCTCTTAATATCAATATAACACCGTTGTCACGGAAGGTAGATAGTTAATTTTCAATGGATGAATGTGAAATCTATGAATGAATATCGATAAACAAAGCTGTATCTTAAAAAAACTTAATAATAGCCTCCTCGTCGAGAGTTTCATTATGATGTTATAATCATTGTATATTATATTATTCATTTTAAAATCTTTACATAGCTCTTTTAACTTTTTGTCACTTCAGACCAAGAAAGAAAGAAGCACGAAACGCTAGGTACATTTGTAATGACGCAAAAACTAAGCCAAAATTGTGTTCAAATTATTGTAATAACAATCGCCAACATATCCATCTAAAATCATTCATTTTTGTTGAATAGGACAGGACAGACGGGACAGAGAGGTAAGGCGAGGTACAATGGGTTTAAATAACACAACAAGAAGAGTGTATTCTGCTAAATAGTAATAATAATGCGTTATATGTCATAAAATTTATTTTTATTATAGTATACACATTTGTATCGCCACCTAGCAGAACCGTTACCGTGTAGTGGCAATGTTAGAATATCCAGTACCCCCCATCATCCACTGGGTGTCGTAAGAGGCGACAGAGGACAACAAATCAGGAGATGGGCAGCAGCGTATTTCTAAGAGCGAAATAAAACACTGCATTTACCAACCCGCTTGCCAAGCATGGCAACTATGGCAAATATCCCCTAATCAGGCAATCTATGGGAGAGGCCTATGTTCGGCAGAGGACTTTAATAAGCAGTAACGATAACGGTAAGCAGAAGGGGCGCATTCTGAAGAAGGACATCTTACTGTTTCATATTGTATTAAAATGTATCTAATTCTGGTAAAATCTGATGTTAAGAACTATCTCGGCGATAAAGGTTCCTAGTTCTAAAGTTTTGCGTTAGATGGCATTGTTTTAAATTAAGCTGTAACTAAGAACTTAGCGTAGCATAAAGATACTTTCGGATTTTATGGGTATAATTAGGATAATTTTGCCAATAACTGTGGCCATGACGTTTTATTTGTCAACCAAACAAATTGTGACAAACGAGCACATAGTCCACCTGATGGTCGGTGAATGCTATGGCTACATAAATCTAAATCTATCATAGATTAAGAACCAAAATACAGATGCATTGTCACCCCTGAGGACTAAGATGAAATGC